AGAGGCAGATGGCGAGGTCTCGCTGACCAATGTTCTCAACGGAATGGGAGGAACTAAGACTAAGACTAAGACTCTCAGGCTCCACACAACGTTAAATTGTACTGTAAACGGAACGGGAGGAACTAAGACTAAGACTCTCAGGCTCCACACAACGTTAAATTGTACTGTAAACGGAACGGGAGGAACTAAGACTAAGACTCTCAGGCTCCACACAACGTTAAATTGTACTGTAAATGCAATTTAAATATTCTCGAAACCTTATCTGGCATCTATTACAATTTCATTATAAATTTCTGTTCTAAATGTTCATTATTGGCCGTCCAGTAGCAGAGATAAGTCTGAAGGCTTATAACGCTACAAACCGGATTTCGATACCCGTGGTGGGCACTACATAGATAGCCCATTGTGTAGCTTTGCGCTTAACAACAAACAAACAAACAAACAAAAATATTCAATACTGACTTAACATCACCATAAATTGAAATTGTTATTTCCAAGGTATTATTAATTCACACTTTCTAGATTTCTTAACGGTCTGTCTCAATTCAATTTTTTTTTTAATTATCCCATACAACTACACATTTACAAAAACGCAACGAGTTAAAACCTCAACCGCCTACTTACTAGAGCCGGTGCAAATATTTGTAGAAGCGTCTTATTGATGGCAAAGAATAAATCTGAGCCTGTCACCTATAACAATTATCCAATATCTGGAACTCATGCTTCGTAGCAAAGACGTTCCCTCAATGACGTAAGCAAAAGCGAGATCAATATATTCATGTTCCAGGGATTCGGTAACAAAAACCTTTTGTGGAAGTAAAGGAAAATCGAACTTTCAATAAAACAAAATATCGAAATTGATATTACTTTGCTCATATTTCGCTACTTTTTGAGTAGCTTAAAAATTTTCTTTCCTTTCTATTATTGTGCTTTTAAGCACATTGTGAAAGATAATTATCATAAACTATTTTTATTATTATATTATCTTTGGTAGTTTCGTAAAATTCGCTCTACAATGAATCATGACAAATACATTTACAACTTTCTAGTCGTATATCAAAAATTTCCAGACACTTTCCAAACGTTTTAATACAAATAAGAATAAAATGAAATTTATAAATACAGGCAGTTACTTTGTGCATTTATTCTGACACAGTTATATACCAGCACTTTACACGCATATACTATCCGAGACACAGTGTTCACAAAATCTTTCAAAATAACAATAATAACACTTGAAACTATTCAGCACTATATGATCTGTATCATGACCTATTAAGAAAATTACTTTGAAGTGCGCAGTACTACAGAGTTATATTCTGTTGTATTGAAAAGTTCCTCTCATATTTTGCAATTTTTATGCCTAAAATATAAGCAAAATGAACAATATATTACAATAAGGTGCTTGCTCACTTCTACGCTAGAGTTTCAAAGTACATGCCAAATCTGTATAACGATTAGTACGGAACAACACATTATTAGCGAAGCCTATTCTCTAATAAAAATCTAGAAGAAAATATGTACAATCGTCTTTTTTGGAGATTTTTTCCTGTGAAAAATAATGGAAGTCATATCACTATTGAAGCCATCTACTTGAGCCCATTAAAGATTCCAGATTAAAGATATAACAGTTCAAAGCGTGAAAATTCACCCACCGTCTGAGATTTATCTAAACCAAATTTTTGACTGGTTTTAGTGCAAACAACGGTCGAAAAGTAACTATATTATTTTGGCTCTCAAATATACCCCAAAAGAATGAATATGGGGGTTGTAGAACCAGAGTTAGTATATTATAAAATCTATTCCTTTTTGTGTATATCTTTTCGTAAAAATTGGATTCACTTAAACATTTTGCATTAGCTATATTACCTAAGCAATCACTGAATAACAATCATCATATTTCCAGCTTTATTAGTCTGTCATCCTACGTAAATGGAATATAATAACACAGAAATATGAATTCAGGAGACTGCCTTTTTATTGACACAAACGTCCAAACTAGATAAGCCACTATGTCTAACATTATCACTACGTTACAGTATAACACCTATGGAGAAGCGTGTTCGTGTATAACACGAGAATTACTGAAGGTACAACGGGTGTTGAAGAGAGGGATTGGATTATCTTTACCATCCGATGGATGGGAGAATATTGTGGTTGACGAATAATCATGTTAAGTTTAATTAGGGCAGTATCTACGGTACAATACGATATACGTTTCTAGGATGGTTGGAGTGTTATGAAATTAGATGTAAGATAAATTGGTTGGGGCTGAGAGAGCTTCCGGTTTTTGATCAGTCCCTAAGAGTTATTAGTGGGAGCAGCGGCCTTTTTTCTTCAGTTGTATGGAGATAACAGGACCTCCTATGTTTATAAAACGTTATAATCAAAACAGGTATGCAAAGTAGAAAGAAAGAGACTCGTTCGACAATGAAAAGAAAAAGACCAGGATATGTTAGAGAGAACGAAACAACCAGAGAGAGAAGCGAAGAAAGAAATGATGTACTGGCAGTAAAAAACAAAACTTATTTCTAAATCTATGTGTTGTGTATTAGAATAATAAACATCAATTTGTTATGTATATTAGTACGAGTCAATTCCGGATAGAAATAAGTACAACCGAAATAAAGTAGACAAGTAAGGATGGACTGAGAAGTGCAAGTATAGCACGATCTTAATACTAACAATGAAAGGATGGACTGAGAAGTGCAAGTATAGCACGATCTTAATACTAACAATGAAAGGATGGACTGAGAAGTGCAAGTATAGCACGATCTTAATACTAACAATGAAATTATCATTATATTTATAATTCTTCCATCAATGCATCCTGGCCCTAAGATTGAGGATGTTCTTATGTAACATGATAATGTAAGGCATCATCTTGCTCACCGTGTAACGACTGCTATTTAAAAGCTTAGACAACTTAGAATACCTGTACGTAATTGGAACACCACATTTATCTAATAGTATGGTAAAGATTACAAAACAGTGGAAGAAATGTATCGTGCTTCGCGGAAAATTGGTTGATTTGTGATATCTGCTAGCTCACTTCCCCAACGACATTTCCACTGGTGTGCGTTTGTTGGATTATAATAGAGAAGATATTACAAAACAGTGGAAGAAATGTATCGTGCTTCGCGGAAAATTGGTTGATTTGTGATATCTGCTAGCTCACATCCCCAACGACATTTCCACTGGTGTGCGTTTGTTGGATTATAATAGAGAAGGCTACAGTCCATTTATGTTTTTGTTCTGAACACTTTATTTATATTACTATTACTCTGATTATATTTTCCATCGCATAAACAGAACTTTGGTTCTAAGCAACTTTTATTTTGTGGAAATAAATAAGACATATTTTGGTTATTCATAAAAACTACAATATGAATCATATAACGTAATCAACCTTAGTCTATCATGAACACATATAACTAGTATTTATCCAACTTGGCTAAGATAATTATATATATATATACAGTATTACGTACTGGGGAAAAGAATTGAAACTTACCAAATATTTCTCCTTTGCTGGCATATTCTGATACCAGGTAAACCATACTTTTTGTTTCCATCACCTAAATTACAAAAACATATCCAAATATATTTTATTTCCTACCACTTTGTTTTTGACAGTAAATTATTTTCCTCATCAATAAATTTAGTTTCTCAGCGTACATTTTGATTTAAAAATATCTCATCATTTTCTGTTTCTAAAACATTCTAAGTTTTATTAGGTGACTTTAAAAAGGAAAACAAACACTTGCATTTTCAAAACAGATTTACTTTGACTTCAAAAAGGAAAACAAACACTTGCATTTTCAAAACAGATTTACTTTGACTTCAAAAAGGAAATTTTCGATTTCTTTGTAATTTATGGCTTAGTGTGAACTTTCATTTATAATGTGGACAGTGTGTACTCAAACTACCTAGTATTGTACTTTATATAATGTGGACTGTATGTACACAAACTACCAAGTTATATATTT